GCGCCGCCCCGCACACACAACGAGCGTCCCGGCCCCTTCCTTTTAATGTGGTACAAAAAAAAAAAGAAACAAAGAAAATCGGGTATTACAATGAAAAGTGATTAAAACACCGATATAGCACGTTGCCATCCCACTAGCTAAAAGGGTGGGGGGTTGCTTCTCTATTCAGACAGTAGAAAGTTGAGTGGCCTCACGACGTAAAAAAATGAAAATCCTTGTGTCACATGTATACTTTTCTCTACTTTTTTTTTCTTTTTTTTTTTGTTTTTAAAGCTGTGCTCACAGAGACGGCTTCTTGTATCGCACTCTTCAGGTGGAGGGGAAGTCAGTTGTAAATAAAGTTGAACCTGAAATTAAAAGGGTTAGACCAAGTGAGCGATTTAACTCATTAAAAAATTCTTTTGAATTGACACAGTTTTATCAAGAAAAAAAAAAACTTTTTATAGGATAGTTTGGTGTACCCAGAAAGTTTTATCTGTAAGAAGAGAGGCCTGGGCTAGCACTGCACATCAGCCTCTTCGGGGGCAAAATACYGATTGAGAATCAGCTTTTCCTGCAACCTTTACCAAGCTCCACAGATATGGAAATACCGGTGCACGTTCTGCACCCTTGACGCAACTCGCAGCGTTTCCATCATCAGAGCCAAGCTTATACACCCCATGAGTAAGAGGGAACTTCTCAGACAAAATTATTCCTATAAATATTCCCTCCTTTCAGAGCATCTCTTGCAGAGGTTTCAGTGACCAGCGTTGGGCCAGAATCACAAGAGCATCTCTACTGCTTTTATACAGAGCAGGGGCAAAAGTCTCTAGAGCAGTGGTTGCCAAAATTGGGACTAAAAGCAGAGTCTTAAATATAAAACAGATATAAGCTTGTTATGGGCGATACCAATCCCAGCATTCAGCTAATAGAGATATTTTCCGCCACATCAGGTATGTGGCATAACTACTTCCCCTGAGTACCAGCTGTGACATGCCTGGCATTCCCAGACATTTGCTGATGGAACAGAAATCAGACAAGTCAGCTCTGCAGAGCATTTGCAGACAAGGAGGCCAAATGCCATGCTTGCTGGGGACCTGTAACAGAGATACCTATAAGCATCTGCCTATAGGCATTGCCTTGCTCTGCTGCCCAAGCTCTCGGGAAGGGTCAAGCAGGTAAATCGTGATATACCTGCTCAGAAGCTGAGGAAGGCTGGAAATTATGGGTCCATATCCCGGTGCATTGTCATACAGCTCAAACAACGGTGCCGCTACCAGCTTATAATTTTTGGGGACTGCAAACAAAGCTAAGAACAAACACRAGTTGATCAATATTAAATGATAAAGCAGCAAGCATTCAGCCAAGATATCACTCCCCATCCTTACCCAAAGACAAGATCATTGTGTACAGCATTGCAGTGTTGGAGTGGCTTTATTTCATTTATAGGACAGGGGGCTGTACATATACTGACACAGCAGCAGGAACAGGAATAGCCTAGGAATTTGCATTTAAAAAAAGCTTGCATATCTTCAARTTTTTGACACAGTATTTTAAAAAGTTGTTACACTTATTAAAAAAAAACTTCAAACATATAAATCTTGCAAGAAATTAGTCTCTTTAAAGTTTTATAAATGTAATTCTTTGTCGCAAACACTTACCCTTTTCCTGAAGTTGCACCAAGAAAAGTTTTTTGTGCTCTTTTGGTTTTGTAATATGAGCTGGGATATAGGGGTACTGGAAGAAAAAAAGCACAACAAATTTACTTGTATTGATCTTTGAAAGTCTTGTGCAATCTTAAGTGCTGCTCCTGGCACATCATATATTGTTCTTTCRTGGTATAAGACAATGAAAACCCTTTAGAAGAACAAATTCAGAAAGAATACTGTTGCCTTCCTGGCTGCTTACAGCATCCATCTAAAGAGATAGTACTCATGATCCCTTAAAACAATCCACCAAGACAGAAGCACACGGCAGCAAACTGATCAAGTACTTTCAGTGTCAAAGCACTGAGAAGCCAGGCAGCAAGATTCTGTTTACRTGGCATCTGTTTCAGGTGTAGCAGGGCATGCGTTTCATCGTGGCTCAAACAGGAGCTTAAATGGTGTTTAGCTCAGCACAGGACCAGAAGGTGCCACATCCAGCGGTTATTTGTCTACTGGGAGAGGAACCAGGAGGAAGAAAGGGCCTCCAAGAGAAAATGTTTCTGCAGTGAAGAGGAGACAGCTGAAACCTCACAGGACTATGCACTCACATGGGTGCTCAAGCAACCCAGCCGAAGGCTTCTGCAAGAACAAGCAGTATTGGACTCTGAAGAACATAAAGGCAGACCCGAGCGACTCACCTGTGGAGGTTCAAAGTTTGGTCTCCACCAGTTACCAATGCAGTCATCGATTACCCAGTCTTGCTGAACACCATCTTGGCGTCCCAGTATCTATCAAAAATCCAGTTACAGTCAAAACTCTTAAGCACCCCATGCCATATTCTTAGAAAACACACACTGGAAGCACAGCGAAATGCTTAATTAGGGTCTGATGTACTTCAGAGCCAGGTTGGAACAACTTTTATTAGCGTGTTAGACTGCTTCTCTATAAAGTGACTTTAGAAAACATTTCAAATTCTGTCTTCAATAAAACTGAGTGCACTACCTGCTAATGGCAGTATCTTTACAAAATATCACAAACAACAGAAGTGGTAAGACAATTACTTTAATGCTTTAGCTTCTTGCATTAACTCTAGAATAATTCACTGTTCTCAGACATTCTACTACAGCAACAGAAGAAAACTGACCTCTGTCATTAAGCGTTTGAGCCCTTCTACCTCATCTTCCCCTGGATTGAGCTCACCACCAGGTCTGTTAAAATAACCAATATATTACTGACAATGACCAATGCTGAAAGTTAAGGTTATGCTTTATTACATTTACAGACACTCATAGACAAGTCTGGAAGGGTTTCCAAGTAGTTACAAAATGGCTTGAGGCCCTTCAGCCTCAAGCTTCAAATATTATTTTGCCAAATTTAAATGCAGAGTAACATGGCCTTCACCAAAACTGCRACCAAAATGACCACTGCACATCCTTCCAGACAAACATCTAAAAGTGCTATACGTGCGATAATAAATGAGATGCTTAAAAGGGAAAGTTTTAACAATAACAGAAAAACACCAGGAAAAAGGGAATTRAAGTGTTGTAGGTATTGACGGTAGTATCTGTCTCAATCTCAAAAATAGCTTTCCAAGCAGAGAGTTAAACTTTTGAGGGAACCATATAACATAAATGACAAAAAAATAGAAGGGCTCTTCAATAAAGATTTTTGAAACACCTTTTGACTCAAGATTATTTTTGCTCCCTCCCCATTCTCCAAATAAGAAAGACAGAAAAAAAGGAACTGGATATAAAAAGTAGTCTCTCCCAACAGATGCTTGGGAAAAGAACAGTGTATTAAAAATATCAGACAGAGAACATGAACAGAACAGCCTGAGGCAAGTCTATATATTTAAAAAGAAAGTTAAAACAAGCACCACCTCCTTTGACTGCAAATGCACAATGCAACCCTGGAAAAAAAAATTCATTCCAGCAGGGACAAACATTAGCTGAACTGAAGCAATTTTCCTCAGACATTCAACATGTACTTTTTTAATGGGTACAGCTCACCTGGCAGTTTGGAAATAGCCCCTTTTCTTCAGCTACTCACACCCCAGCTTCAGCCTTGAGCTTCACCTTGCCATTTTTGCGCCCACAGCACCAGTATATTTATTTATACATAACAACGTTTTCACAACGCAGGGGGTAAAATACTAACTACCACTGAGCTTTAAATAGGAACTTAACRTGCTGATGCACTGTAATTTAGACTAGCAGTTGGTTCAAAGCTAAGTCACTCTTCCACACAAGCAGTGGGATTTTTTTTTTGCAAGAAAACCTCATCAATCACAATACTCTTCCCCCAACAGAGCCTTTATAACAAATGAATCCAATGTTCAAGATCTAACAGAGCCAGCTGCGCTTAAGCCTGTGCTTTTTGATTTAGTTTCAGTAAAAAGTTGCAGTGAGGAAGCAGCCACTTACAGCTTGAAAAAAGTGGTTCCCAGCTGCAGTAAGAGGACGTGGGGCAGCCGATGCTCGTGCACGATCAGCACCCCCTCCACCGTCCGCCTCATGCCGATCTTGTCAAACTCCTCCCTCATGCGCTGGAACCGAGCCGCTACTGAGCTGTCCTTCTCATACAGGGGTTCCTTGGTACCAAACGTGTAATTGGTGAGAGGATACCTACAAGAGAACAATAATTTTAAAAAAGGATTAGTACACGATAGGAAATCCAAGTTTAAAATCATGTATGCTATTACGACAYGGCATTATCTGCACTCAAGTGCAGCTGCTCCACAGCGCTGAACTAGAAATTCCTAATGGAAAGTCACGGGACCCACAGCACACGGAGATCTGCTCTGGGATACGGAGGTGCACAAGGTCGCACTGACTGAAGGCAGCTGCRAAAGAACCTGCAGCAATTGCCTTTCAACAGCCGCTCCCTTTGGGAGAAAGGCAAGAGAGAGAAGAGCAGCTCTGCGGGCAGAAGAGGCACTTGCAYAGGACAGTTGTTCTGTTCTTGTCTTTCTACAGGAGAAATTAAGAGCCTGAGAACTGAACTGGTAAATGCAGCTTCRTTTTGAAGAAGGGAGATGAACAGCTGGGTCACAGAGGAGAGACAGTGCTGCAAGTGTAAAGTGTGGGGCCAGGTGTCTGGAGAAAGAACAAGAGTTTCGACGGGCCACTTCACTGGGCTAATGCTGCCCTTCAGGTTCTCTAGGGATGACACCGTGGCAGMCTCACCATTTCTCCAGGGAGAAGGGGCTTGGTAGATAAAAAACGCAAAAAGAACTTGGGCCCAAAAGCAGAGTCCTGCAAAGCACAGGGGTAATCAGGAGAAAACACTGCAAGTCTTAAAGTAACACAGAGGTCTGACAGGAGGAGGCTGGGAGGAAAGAAAGCTGGTGCGAAGGCAGAAGCATCAGGTTAAAGTAAAAAAAGACAAGGAAGATAGCTCCAGGACAAGAGCACAGTAGCACTTTATCACAGACTGGCTGAGGTTGGAAGGGACCCCTAGAGAACATCTAGTCCAGGCCCCTGCTCCAGCAGGGACACCCAGAGCACGGGGCACCCGCTCGCATCCAGGCGGGTTTCGGAGACCTCCAGGGAAGGAGGCTCCACAGCCTCCCTGGGCAGCCTGTGCCGGGGCTCTGGCACCCTCACAGCCAAGAAGCCCTTTCTCATCAACACAGTGTTATTAGCCTGTGGCACACAGCACCTTCCTTAACCRGGTTAACAGCTGATTCACATCAGCCTTTTACCTTGGCGGGAGTCTCCTCACGCATTTCTCCCTCTCAACACCCAGTCTCCAAACTCATGCCCAACTTAGGAAACACCTCCCTCTCCTGCAAGTTTCCATCACTCGTCCCCGTGCAGAAATCACAAACCGGGTTCACTTCTAAACTGCAAGTGAAAGGGGCAAGGAGGAGAGAACACTTGCCAAAGAAAGGTATCTATAACGTTTAAACAGCTACCTTCCTAATTAAAGTCCCCTTTATTAACACGCATTCGCCTCACACATGCCCCATACGTTACAACGGGCTCCCTTGAACACCCACTCCCCAAAATAGTTTTTTTTCCTCTTTCTCCTAGAAAATGTGACTGAGCGCAAAGCAGCGGGAGGGCCGGCACCCGCGTCGGTGCCGGCCCGGCCCGGCGGGCCCGCGCGCCGCTCACAGGTTGATGGTCCTCTCCAGCGTGAGCGGCTTCGTCTGCTGGATGTACTTGTTGCCGAACTGGTTCACGCCGCGGGGCCAGCCGGTCTGCGAGCGGTTGGGCGGCACCACGGACATGATGGCGGCGGGACACGGGGCCGGGGCGCGGGTCACTGCTCGGCGGCGGGAACCGCGTCCGCCATTAACCTCCCCGCGGGGCCRCGCGCCGGAACCGCCCGCAGCCGCTTCCGGCCGCGCCGACCATAGAGCGGGGACGCTCTGCTGCCGCTAMAGGCGCCTTAGCGGCCGCACGGAGCAGCGTTCTCATTGGCTTCTGGCGCCGCGCGCGCAACGCCCCCCCTCTTCCTCATTGGCCCGCGGRAGGGGTGGCCCCGCCCCCGCGCAGCGCGAGGGAGCCTGGGAGCTGTAGTCGTGAGGCGCGCGGCC